TAGTTATCACTTCCTCTTGAATTTTTTTTGTCTTTTTTGTTTTTACCGGTACTGGAGATCGAACTCATGACTGCCTGCTTGCAAGGCAGGCACTTATGCTGCTGAGCTAAATCCCCAGCCCCTTCCTCTTGAATTTTTCCCCTATCCTGTATGTAGTGTGACCCTCTTTATCTCTTCTGATCATTATTGGTTTAAAGTTCACATTGTCTGCAAACAGAATAGCTACTCCTGCTTTTTTTTTGGGTTCCTGTTGCATGAAGTATTGTTTTTCATGCTTTAACTTTCAGCCTGGGAGTATCTTTTTGGGTTAGATGGGTTTCTTGTAGACAGCATATGGTTGGATTTTGTTTCTTGATCCATTCTGCCATTCTTTTTCTTTTAATTAGTGCATTGAGACCATTAACATTAATGGCTATAACTTATATGTTGGTTTATTGTTGACATGTTATCTTTATGCTGTTACATTTTTATCTTTCTGTTCTGTTTAATTGTCTGCTTTGCTTTTGGTTTTTTCCTGAGTGTATCTAGACTGTCTTTCAATATTCTTTGCGGGGTTGGCTTGGTGATCATGAAGTTCTCCAGCTGTTCTTTTTTTTTTTTTTTTTGTCTTTTTCATTTTTATCGGTACCGGGGATCGAACTCACAACCGCCTGCTTGCAAGGCAGGTGCTTATGCCGCTGAGCTAAATCCCCAGCCCCGTGTCCAGCTGTTCTTTTTCATTATTTCACCATTGATTTTGAAGGACAGTTTTGCAGGGTACATCAGTCTAGGGTGAAAATCATTTTCTTTTAAGATCTGAAATATTTCACTCCATGCTCTTCTTGACTTTATTGTTTTTGGCTGAGAAGTCTGCTGTGATTCTGATAGGTTTTCCTTTATAAGTGATCTGTCTTTTCTCTCTGCTTTTAATATTCTATTCTTATTTTGGATTTCTGGAATGGTGATTATTATATGTCTGGGTGTAGTTTTATTTTGGATATGACTATTTGGAGTTCTATATGCATCACTGATCCTGATGTCAGTTTCTGATCTCATGCTTGGGAAATTTTCAGCTATTACTTCTCTAAATATCCTCTTGACATCCTGTATGTTGTCCCCTTCTTTTTCATTAATCCCTATCAATCTCATGTTGTTTTTCTTTGTGTCATCTTGCAGTTGTTGAATTGTTATTTCCTGATTCCTTGTTATTTTTAAAAGATTTTTCCTGTTCACTAGCTGCAATCTTGTCTTCAAGGTCTCAAATTCTATCTTTACTCTCATTGAGGCAGTTTTTACAGCTTTCAATGGAATTTTTGAATTCCTGTATATCTCTGTGCATTTGCTTTATGTATTCTGTTTGTCTCTTATATTGCTTATCCAGGGATTATACCTTTTTGTTTAGTTCCTCCATTTTTAAAAACTGTGTCTTCTTTAAATATGTTCAGCATCTCCTTCATTTCTTTTATCATTTCTTCTTTTACCTGGGAGATTGTTTCTAATTTGAATTTTTTTATAGCTTCCCAGAGTTGCTTCTTTATTTCAGTTGCTATTATGTCCAATATTTTAGGTGTAAGGCATATATCTTCTTCTTTGTACATCACTCCTAAGGTTTCTTTGGATGGCTGGAGGTTTGAGATTGTAATTTGGTCTTGCGTCTTGTCATTTTCCTATATTTCTGTGTTTCAAGTGTATCAAGTATTATTCCGAGGCTTCCCCAGGGTCTGTTGGAGATCCTCTTCTATGCCCTTAGCTCCTGGGACTCTGGCCACCCAGCTCCCCGGGTTGAGAGAGGGTCTCTAGGGGTGGGGCAGGTCAACCCAAGCCCAGCTCCTGGAACTGATGGTGCCTGCTCACCCAGAACTCCGGAATCCTCCTAGCATTGCCAGGAGTGGGGAGGCCATCCTAGGCCTTTCCGGGATCCACTGCAATGATCCAGTGCACCAGGAAGCCACAAAGTTCCCTCTTCGGGCTGAGCAAGGGTCCCAAACTAGCTGGACTCATGGGCAAGTGCATGGGGCACTTACGCCAGGCTGCCCAGCCTCTGGAACCTATGGTGCCCGCCTGCTTCCTGTTCAGAACTCCAGAGTCCACCCAGCACTGGTGGGAGCAAGGAGGCTGCTGCAGGTCCGCCCAGGATGCGCCGTGCTGGTCTGGTGCAACAGGAAGCCACAGGATCTTTCTCTGGGCTGAGAGAGGGTCCCAAACTAGCTGGACTAGGGGGAAAGTGTGTGGAGCACTTATGCCAGGCCACCCAGCCTCTGGATCCAATGGCACCCACCCACTTGCCTGCTCAGAGCTCCAGAGTCCGCCACGCACTAGTGGGAGTGAGGAGCGTGCTGCAGGTCTGCATAGGACCCAAACCAACTCTACATTCCATTCTGAAAGATGTTTTTGAGAGAGATAAAAATGTACACAGATCCAAGAACATCAATGTAAGGAAGATATTCAGCAGGGTAAGCAGTTAAACAGAAGGAAAAGACAAGGAACCAATAGGCAAAAATAATATGACCTATGTGGGCAAAAACTGTTAGTTATAACCATCAATGTAAATGGACTCAATTTACCAATCAAAAGAAACAGACTGGCAGAATGGATCAAGAAACAAACCCAGTAATAGGCTGCATACAAGAAACACATCTAACTCAAAAAGAAATTGATAGACTGAAAGTAAAATATGGGAAAACAATATTCCACATGATAAGAAGCCAGAAAAAAGCAGAAGTACCTATTTTATTAGCAAACAATGTGAACTTCAAGCCAAGACAGAAAAAAAGAGACAGAGAAGGTCACTAAATACTTGTTAAGGGAAGAACCCATAAAATGTAACAGTGAAAATGTTTTAAAAAAATCACAGGAAAAAGAATGTTTGTTAAGTAAGGCTAGGCATACATTTCTTTCTTTTTTTTTTTTTTTTGTCTTTTTCCTTTTTATCGGTACCAGGGATCGAACTCACGACTGCCTGCTTACAAGGCAGGCGCTTATGCCGCTGAGCTAAATCCCCAGCCCAAGGCATACATTTCTTAGACTTGACCCCAAAAGTATGATCCATAACACAAAAAACTTGAGAAATTAGAATTTTTCAAATTTTTAGTAAAATATTTGTTTCATGAAAGATCTGGTTAAGTGAATGAAAAGACAATAGAGAAGTTGGCCAACGTACTTCTAAGATATGTGAAAAGGACTCTATTTATATTTTAGAAAGAACTATCAAAATTCAACAGCAAACAATCCAGTAAGAAAATAGGCGAAAGAGATGGATAAGCATTTACTGAAGAGGATGACAAATCCTCATTTACAGATGGCAAATGATCACACAGAAAGGGGCTCAATCAATGACAATACTATGGCTGTGAAGTTGGGCTATAATTTGGCAAAATGTTGCCACTGAGGAAATTAGAGAAATGTACAGAAAGTGAATTTTTATTGTTTATTAAAACTACATGTGAATATATATTTATTTCAAAGAAAGTTTAATAAAATGTGTATTGTAAATGTATGTAAATAAATTTGGATAGAGTAACACTAAGGGAATTGACCTTCTTAAACCTTGGGACCACTCCAAAAGTTTTTTCTTTTTCAGATTCGGAACAAAATATGATTGTCAGAAAATTTTCACACACTTGTGCAGGGACTGGCTGCCTTATATCATTTCCAACTAGAACAGGTAAGATTTCTATCACACCAAGAGTTTGTAACCTTGCACCCACAACTAGAAGGCCAGATAAATTTTTGAGAACAATTATGCCATATGGAGTAATAACCTTCTCATCCAGGTAGTGCTATAAACAACAGCTTGCTGATTACTCTGCACATAGAATTTCTTCTACTGGCGAAACTCAAGAACAAATTGTATGAGCCTCAGCTTTTGGCATGGTCCACTCATGGCCTCCTAGAATTTGAGGAATATTCATGAATGTAAAATTAGAGAAGACATTACAGAGCTCTGTCCCCAAACCTCATTACCTGCATACGCATTCATTCCAGGAATGATCACTGCTCTGCAGTGCATTCAGGAACCTTTCCCAAGAAGTTTCACCAGCACAGCATGGGATCTCCTTCTCAAGGGGACAGCGGAGAGTGGGAAGTGCATGCTCCTTGCTCATACGTTTTGCTCCACATGACAGGACACTGTGCTTCTCCAGGAGAGAAGGATGTATCACCCTATATGGCACTGTCCTGCCTGCATTTCTTGCAGATGGGTTAGTGTGATGGGCTCATAGTGTATACCGTGCTGATGCAGATAATCCTTTATCTCTGGACTTCACATGGTCACAGTGGTGATTGTGACAGCTCAGCACATCCTCTTCTCATTCATGAACCATGCAAGTTCTTTGTCACCAAATAGTCCAACGTCCTATCTGAAGAAATATCTGATTTCTGTTTAATGAAATATTTCTCCTGCAAGGCCACATAACTCTATACAAATCTTTTGGGTGGACACCTAGGCTGAATTCATGCCACCACTTATGATAGAGAAGAGAGATCAGTATGTTAGAGACATAGCACACGGCTTAAGCCTTGCTGATACTCATTGAGCAAATGGAATGAGATAAATAAGAGGAAACAAGGACTCTGGAAAAGTGTGTGTCATAGAACTGACATTTGAGAAGGTGACTCACATAGAAGACTGGGAATCAGAGTCCACAGATCAAAAAGGATACTAACTCCTACATGCTCCCTGGAAAGATGCAAAGGTAGGAAAAACCATCTGCTTCTCAGCCCTTGCTTTGTCTCCAGGATGGTAACTAGTTGGAGGGTGTGGGGGCCTGGTCTATGGGGAGGGTCGAGTAAAATGAACTGGAGGAAACCACAAAATAGAGAACATCTTTTGTGGCACCTTGCTGTGTGTGAGCCTTGTGCTCTTCTTCTAGACCCTAAGGGGAGCGCCCCCAGTCTGCTGCAGGGGAGACTGTTTGCTTCAAGATCAGGCACAATGCATGCACTTTAGTGAGGCAGCGTGAAACCATCTGAGTTTCATTTGCAGTGACACTGAGGGAGACGTGGGGATGAGAATAAATGAAGAATTCACCCTGCTCTAAGAAAACAGGGAGAAGTTAAATGTGATCCAGTCCTATAGTCCACAACTCCCCTGGGTTGAAGTGATGACCCTGAATATGGAGGACATTTGAATATGGACCTACACTGAACAAGGCTCTCTTTCTTCTCTCCAGCAATGACTGGACAGCACAGCCCGAGGACTCATCTTCAGCTCTCTGGAGAGTGAGGACATCTTGCATCCAGGACAGCTGCAGAAGACTCTGTTGCCCTTCTTCAAAGGACAGCCCCAGATTCTGTGGGTGAAGAGGCCAAGGTGCTAGCATAGGCTTGGGGCACAGGACTAGGCTGACCAGTATACTGGGGTCTCCAGGTCACCAATTTTCCCAATTCTGTTCTGAATTAAACTGAGGACATCAGTAAATGGATGAGTGGAATGGAGCTATCAACAATCAGCAGAAGCTGCATTGTCTTTATTTAGCAGAGCATAGAAGAACACATGCTTTAAAAACTAGAAACAGACATGTTTTAGGTTAAGAGAATTTTGATTAGGTAACATTTCGATGTGTAGTCTTATTCTTGGAATCTGCCCTATTTGAAGTTTTCAAAGTGTGTTAAAAATGCATTATGATTTTGGGAAATTTGTTTCCTCAGAAAAGCAACAACTATTCTCAGGAAGTTCTTATCTTCTGGGTGGCCCTGATTCTCATTGGATTGATAGTGCTGTGCCTTGGTATGGTGATAGCCCCTTTTATTTCCATTACAGTGAGGTTTCTCCTGTGATTGGAATTGATTGCTAACTATGGGCACCTTTCCTGGTATCAGTAATGAGTCCCCTAGCTCAAATGTCAGGTGTTGTCAATTACCTTTATCCCTGTCTCTGGGATACCTGTGTGGAGGAAGCAGCTGAAGCTGGAGACCGACCATTTCTGTGGGGCAGTAAGAGGTCAATGTGTGCCCCTGACAAACAAGCTGCCCCAGCTCAGAGTACACCAAAGCGTAAGGCTATCCAAACAATGCATTTCTAGGCAGGGACATGCCATGTGACTTTATCTTGCTAAATGAATCAAGAAATGCCACTATGGTGGTTGAGCTGTTCTTTTCCTCCCATTAGGAGAGAGGGCTCCACTTGACCTCTGCTTTCATCTCTTTTCTTTATTTTCCCACCCTCTAGCCGTCCTTAGTCTGGGAACATCTGGATCTGCACCCAGAGATGACACCCATGCAGTCCTCTTCTGGCCCCGAGTGTGGACTGACTATTTAGTTGGATGGTATTGACAAGACAGTGAAGGGACTTGCAAATTGAATAAGGACCAGAGGCAAAAGCCAGCTCTGAGTGGATTCTTTCTTTGATCAGTTCTTCATCTCTGGAGCACCATCTATATTGGTGGTGGAATGACAACCATCAATGGTAAGTGTCTCTCTGTGGATACTTCCAGGACTGTAGTGAAAGAGGGCCTGTATGGTCACTTGGGTAAAATACAGGAACCTTCTCTGGTTACTCAGGGCAAGACTTTAGTTCTATGTTGACAATTAAGAAGGAATACCTGTCTTTTTAAGTGCTCTGTGATATTCCATGTGAAATGTGATCCTGCCTGGGAGGGTCAAACATATTTTCTACCACCTCCTGTGTTCTCCTTCATCTTCAGAGCAGGGAGTCTCCCCTTGGAAATTTCCAGATTCAGCTCAGCTGAGATGAATGTATTTTTCTGTTCATTCAAAGACAGGAAAAGATTGAGTTTTTAATATTTTTTTAAATGATCTGTTTTTCAGATCCTAGGAAGACTGGGAACAAAGGCATTCGTTTTTACTGTATCAGGATTTGGAGTTTGTGAACTACATTTTTGGCAGCATATTAATGACTCCATATAAGTCTACATCATGTACTGATCACTGCTCTGGATACATTATTTGTACTGTGAGTATTTCTTCTTCCAGTATAGCTATTTGCAAATCATTTTAGTATCTCTGATGGTGATTGTGAATTTGCACCTAGAACTTGCTTAGGAGCCTTTGGTCCATGCATGCTGAAGATCTTTAGAGATTACAGGTCAGGGTACTTTGTACCTTACTATGAGCACAGAGCTGAGGGTTAAATTTTCCAAACTGCTTCCATGCTGACTGCCCTGTTGAGACTTTTTTTTAGTAGAAAACTCTGCAAGAATTTATGCTGTCCCAGCAGTGCTCACTTCATGATGTTAATGTCACGCTGAAGGGGAACAGGCAAAGCAGTAGATTCAGGAACTTCATGGTCTGCAAGGATCCTCAGCATACAGCAGGGCTGACTGAAAAGGGAACATTCTTTCTGATGCTAAATGGTCTAGGCTATGAGGGAGGCTCACAGGGATAATGCCAGGCCTTGTTGTGTTAGAGACACCAGGTGACTGAAAGACGAGGGAGACTGTTGCATTTCTGGTTGCTCCTGTCTCCTAGAAATGGCTGATCACTGTGATATATATGGTAAGAACCAATCAAAGACAGCCAAGGACTCTACTCTGTGCTCCCTCTTTGTAATCCCATAAAAACTTCCCTCCCTGAGCCTTGCTCAACATTTTAGCGCACAAAAGCCTGTAATCATTTCACCTAACCTGCCTTCTCCCCCTCATGTGAAATCTAGCCATGTGTCAGTCTAGTGGCTATGCCCATGTCTCCTGATTCTCTTCTCACTTTCTTTCACAAAGTATCCACAATCAATTACATGTACTTTTGTTCACATCTTAGTATCAGCTTTTTGGAGGATATGAATCTGAGCACACATAGAGCTCCAAGACAGAAGCAGGGGCATCATGGAGAGAGGGAAAATACTACAACCCAGGGGATAGGTAACAGTAGCGTGGAGCAGTGTGGGGACAATAGAGGTGGAAACAATCAAATTTTGCCTTTCTTTCAAAGATAGAATGTCAAGAAGCAAGATACAAACCCACAGAAAGAAAGAATCCAGGCAGTTGGCAGCCTGTAAAAGCCCCATGTTCAATCCTCAACATCATGATAAAGAAAGAGAAAGGTTACTAGACTGGCTGCTAGGATATGTGCTAAGAAGGAAGTGGCCATCCAAGATGCCTCCATGGTTTTAGGGCTAAGCAACTGAAAAGGTGGGGTCTCCTACACCTGAGAATCTAAAGCCTGTGAGGAGCACATGTTCTAGGAGTGACACTAAAGGCTTAATTCAGGATCTAGAAGGCTGGAGATAATATTAGCTATGCAAAAGGAAATGTCACAGGGACTGTTGCTTTCCTGAGCTTGATTTTGAAATAGGCTGTTGGTTGAAGACACAACTTTTGGAGTTGCTGTGTAGCTGGCATTTGATGGCATAGAACTGAAGGTGATAACTAAGAGGTAAGAGATCATCATAGGGAAAATCTAGGATCCAAATCCTAGCACACACTAAATTTGGCAGATGAGAAGAATCCATCAAGTGACAAAGGTCAGACAAATGCAGATTCATTTATGCAGATCACGTTTTAACCAAGTGTGTGGCCCCTTTTGAGAGTAAATACTGTTTGCCTCAAAGTCTGTTTTGTGTGACTATTTTAACTTTTGCAATAGGGTCTTCATAGGCAGTTCAGGCTCTTGAACCTACTATGGATCCAGGCTGCCCTCAAACTCAGGGCGACCCTCCTGCCTCAGTCTGTGGAGTACTGGGATTATCTGTGTACACCACCATGCCTGGCACTTATGTGATTTCAAAGGAGCTGTGTCATGAGTTTTTCCTTAGTAGATGTCCTCACATCTTTCTCTGTGCTTTTACTGTTTTATTTCTGTTAGCTTAGTTTCCCTTCCTCCCAGGTCCTGCTGTCATAGTTCCCTGGGGTGGCCTGGAACAGCAGTAGTCTGCAGCTTTAATGCCACTCCACCCATCCCCCACCCACTGGAGGAGGCCTCACCAGGCCCCTTATGACGTCATAGTTTACTCAGCCAATGGGACGACAGGTCTGGTGCCCCGCCCCCTGGGTTGAGTTTAGCGTCTCCCTGGTTACACCTTTTGTAGGTAGTTGGTGGATCTGAGAGGAGTGTGTTTGAGTTTCCCTGTGATAGAAGCGACTGTCATGAAGTGGTCCCACCCCTTTCCCCCTCCCTGTCTTCCTATTCCGGAAGAAATTCGAAGGCAGAAATTGGCTGCGGCCAAAAAAAAGGTAAACCAAACAGGGTCTCAGTTCCTGGACCCAGAGCAAGCCCCCAGCTAGCAACTTCTTGGCAGAGTCTGTACCCCGCTCTGAGAAAATGTGGAGGGACCCTCAGCACTCCGGTGCCCCTTCAAGGCCTGTTACAGATCCTCTCCTCACAGCCCAAATGCGTCCACCTCCAGGGGGACACTCCTTTAGGCCTCACCTGGGGCTTGGCTCTTGCCTCCTACCCACCCTCATACACTTTGCCTCCCTGGGCCCTACATTGGGGGTCCTCTTTCCCTTCCGCTGTCTGAACACAGAGGAGGGTGGGGAGCAGAGGATTCTGCGGACAGAGAGGGAGGAGTAGAGTGCACTTAAGACCCTTTCCATTGGACGCCCTCATCACTAACCCTCACCTGGCCCTTAATCTTCCCACTTGGACCCCTAAAGCAGCTTTAGCCCCCTTCTGGTTTCTCTGGTGAAGACACAGATTTCTCCCTGGAAGGGCATGTGAACATGGGAGCAGGTATAGAGGTTTTGGCCACTGGGCTCCTTAACTTAGACACTGACAACGTAAAACCTTCATCAGGGATCTCAAAAGGTTGACAGTCTTTCTGGGTGACCAGAGTAGATCAGATTTATGTGAGCTTTTCCCCAGGAGTTGACTCTACAGAGAGACTCAGAATGTTTTCTAATTGTCCCCTTTACCTTTGACTCTCCTGTGTGTGGTACTGATGATTAGACCCACCGCCTTCAAAAGTACAGAAAGCTGTCTGTTACTGAGCTGCACTCCAGCCTGTTACTGTCTGTTTCCCCCCATTACGTCTAGGGATGAAGTCCAGGGAGCACAGGGTTCCATGCTCAGCCCTTTTTAGTTTTTATTATTTCTATCTGAGTAAGTGTTTTACTACTTTTATCCCCTCAGGTTTTCCTCATTCTTATCCTGCTATTGCAACATCACCAGTATTTGGGGTTACAGGCCTACACCACAGTGATGTTTCTCTTTTCTGTCATTTCTTTCTTCCTGCTGTTCAGCCATGTTAACTTGTGTGTTTACTGACTGACTGACCATCACAGTGTGTTGTAGGGCTGTTGGCAGCATTAAGCAAATGGTGTGCATAAGAGTGTTCTATAGGAGGATGTGAACAAAGTGGCTTATTGTTTTCGTGAGTATCATTGCTCTTCTTTCCACAGTTAAGATAATTCAAAAAACAGAAGAAGCGTGATTGCTTTCCAGTAGATAAAAGAGTAAGTTTTTAAAATGCATAAAACCTAAGACAGCCAGTGGTGGAGAACGTCACCCACATGAAGCTGTGTCATGGCTGGCCAGGCAGCTAAGGATGGGGCTGCAATGGCAGTAGAGGGTCAGAGTGCAGAGGAGAACAATGTCAGGTGCTAAGAATTCTGCATTTAGGGCTGGGCCTGGTATAGCTCAGAGGGAGAGTTTCAAAGAGAGCACTGCAGCTTGGGGCCAGAGAAGGGAAAGGGGGACTAGGGTGATAGAAGGGTCTGAGTCACTAGTCCCTCCCTCCATCTACTGTCCCCTGTGCCTTGGGCAGGTGCATGAGGTAAAGGAGGAGCGGGACAGGAGGGCTGATAAGCCTCCTGTCCAGCGGAGTGAACTGGAGAAACACGTGGGTGAGTGGGCACAAGGGTGGTCTGGGGAGAGCGGGGTACCCAGGCTGTGGGTGGGGCTTACACTGCCCTAGGAGACAGGGTGGACTCAAGGGCACAGTGGTAAAGGGAAGGGCATCTGTGCCAGGAGCTGGCAATTTAGTCCTATCTCTGAGCCTCAGTGTCCCCACTTGCAGAGAGGGTATTGTGCCCCTGCCAACCCCCACCCAGGATCCATACAGGAACATGGCTTCAGGCCTGGCCATGATGTGGGTGTGAGGAATCAGTCATGAGGAAGCCAAGGCCCAAGCAAGGAGCCTGGAGTGGGGGCTGAGCACTGAGAGCTTGTTAGGGCCCAGAGACCTGGACCCTTTCCCTACCTCCTTTGTCACCTGTGCCCCAGCCCTGCAGCCCCAAGCAGGGCCATGCCTGGAACATCAGCAGCTCCTGTGGGAGGTGCAGAAGGTGAAGAAGGAGCTGGAGGGCGCCTTGGGGCAGCTAAAGGAAGAAAACCTGGCTCTGCGGAACAAAATGAGGCAGCAGGAGGAGCGCCTTCTGCAGGTTGACACCAGGGCAGAGCTGTGCTCTGTGCAGGCAGAAGAGCACAAGAACATCGTGCACAACATGGAGGAGCAGCAGGAGATGATTGAGGCCTTTGGGCTTCAGAACTGCCTGATAAAGGAGCAGCTGGCCCAGATGCAGGACAGCTTCCAGAGGCTGGTGCGTGTTCACTGCTCGCCAGGCTCCTCACCACCAAGACCTTCCAGGCAGAGCAGCACACTAACCCCTCTGGCTCCTTCCCCCCTGCAACACATTGGGCCACTGTCTCCCTCAGTCGAGAAAGTGTCCTGTGAGTCAGAACCCTGTGGGGCTTCTCCTGCAGAGAAAGGATAATTATCTGTCCTGCCTTGCCCTGTAGACACCCAGGTGGGGTCTTGGGTCGGCCCGTGCTGGTGGCACTGATTTCCATTCTCTGTAGAGAGAAGAGAACACCAATATAGTAACCACCCTGAGCTCAGAGCAGCTCAGAAACAAGGAGGTGACTTGGAAGCTGGGCCAGCTGCAGGAGGAGATCACACAGCTCAAGGCAGTGGTAGGTGACTCCTGTCCCATGGGACTGGGCTAAGACAGAGGTGCTCCTGATCGGGTGGGAGGTGCTGGGGCCAGAACTGATCTGCCACAGCTGGACCACAAGTGACCCCAGAGTCCTGCAGTGTCTGGCAGAGCAGTTGTGTGTCTTTTGCTTTTGGTCTCTGACTGTTAGAGGTGTGTGGTCTGGGGTCCTCCCAGGTCCTGATGTCATTTCCCTGCCAGAAGCCTGAGTCATCCTACTGCTAGGAGGAAACAGGGTAGGAGGGGGAGGCTCCTTGGTTCCACCCTGGGTCTCAGCCACACTGGTTACACTTTCAAACTTCCCGTCACGTGGCTTCAGTTCCCATCACTTCCAATGGATGTTAGCATTTTCCTCATAGAGTTGTTGGATTCAGTGAGTCAATATGTGCAAACTGAAGCCTAGAGATCATTTAACACATGTGGCATGGCTCCATCTGATTCTCCATAGATGTGGTGAGGTCCACATTCAAGAACAGAGGTTGTAGGACTGGAGACTTGGAACAGGAGGCCAGTGGTTCAGAGGAGCCCCTAATGAGCTCAGGCTGCTGACGCCCCAGGGTATGCCTGACCTCACTTCTCGGTCTCCTGCAGGTGGCGCTGAAGAGCCAGGAGGCCCAGGAGCTGCAGCAGCAGAGAGACCAGCTGCTGGGCATCCTATGCCACAGAGCTGAGGACTGTTTACACCTGGCCTCTGAAAAACACGCTCTGCAACATCAGCTTCTTCAGTCGTTTAAACAAGCGGTGAATGTACATCTGAAAGACCTGGAAGACCACAAGGCCCTGGTTAGCCTTTACGAAGACCTGAAGACCACCCAGGTGATGGAGGTGCTGAGGCCGGGCCCCTGTCTGGGAGGATCTGGCTGCCTCTGATGTCTCACTTTCCATCCTTACCTACAGGAGGTCCTGTCAGCTTCCAAGCTGCAGAAGCAGCAGACATCCTCGCCTGAAGTTGTGGCACTGCCCGGGGAAGGTGAATGGAGGTGTCAGTGTTGCATGGGCTGAGGAGCACTCTGAGAATGAGTGGAGGAGGACGAGATGGCAGAGGGCTGCTCATTCTCTCCCAGAGGGTGGTGGCCCAGGGGGACCTGGTGAGGTGGGTGGAGGGGAGCGTGGGACTGCTCTCCCTCCCTCCCTCCTGACTGCTCCCAATATGAAATGAAGGGGAGGTGGAGGAAAGAAAACTGGAGAGTCCTCAGCCCAATAGCACCAGTCCTGAAGACGCGAGAGGCTCAAAGGCTGCGGTGAGCTGGGCTCTGCTTTGATCCTTCCCTGGGTCTCCTTACCTGCCTCTTCCACTGAGGTCCCTTTGGACACCCCAATACTTTGGGTTCCCCATGCCCTCATTTCCCTGGACCTTCTCTAAAAGCAGTGGTCGTGCCCCATCCCTAGGAGCAACAGGTGCCAGTGGCAGAAGGAGGCTCCATGCATCCTGTGATGTGGAGAGCTCCCCCACAGAATCACACCCTGCCTCCACAGATGGCATTTGTCAACAAAGGTCCCACCTCTGTGCAGAAACAGTGGGCTCAGCCACCCAGCCACCTGAAGGTTCAGAGGCAGCTAGGCCAGAGTTTGGCCTATGTGGCACTCCTGACCCAGGTCAAAGCTGAGGATGTGGCTTCAACTCCTAGGAGCAGTGGTGACCATGTGACCATGGTGCAGCCTCAGAGGAGGCTGCTCTACCAGGGTGGGAAGGGCGGGCAGGGTGGATGGCCACAGAGCCCTGACTCTGGTGCTCTGCTTCCTTTCTTGTACAGGTGTCACAGGAAAAGGCAGAGATTAAGGAGGCAGTGGAGGAGCTGGAATGTCAACGCATGCTGCTCTCTGGTGATTGCAGCACCACTGATAAGCTGGGCCAGGGCTCCTGCAGCAGAGGCTGTAAGGTGTGGGGTTTGGGAGGCCTGCAAGTGACCTCTGACTATTGTTGTTCTTTACACAGCAGAGCACACTGCGATCTGCCCCAAACTGGGGACAAACCTAACAGTGAGGCATTGTGAGGAGGAGGACACACAACAGGAGGAGGAGGAAGAACAAGTGAAGGAGGAGGAGGAAGGAGTGGAGGAGGAGGAAGACAAACACATGCATGAGAAGGAGGAGGGGAATGAACAAGTGGAGGAAGATGGACAAGAGAAGGAGGAGGACAAACGAATGGAGGATGACAAGAAGGAGCAGGAGAAGCACGAGGAAGAGAAGGAGGAGGTGGATAAACACGTAGAGGAGGAAGAGGAGCAGAAGAAGCAGGAGAATGAGGAGGAGGATGGAGTGGAGGATGAGGAGTACTGGAACCAGGAGGGGGAGGAGGAAGTTGAACTAGTGGGAGTGGAGGAGAAGGAAGAAGGAGAGGAAAAGGAGGAGGAGGAGCTGGAAGGGGAGGAGGAAGTGGAAATGGAGGAGGAGGAGCAAGAGGAGGAGCAAGAGGTGGAGGAGGAGGAGAACAAGGAGCAGGAGGAGGAGGAAGAGCAGCAGGAGGAGGATGAACATACCCCACAGCTATTCTCAGTGAAGGGAGAGGAGCAGGTAGGTCTGGGTGTCTCCTTAGGGCTGGGTCCCTAAGAAGCCCCTCTCCCTGAGGTTAAAGCTGCTTGTGTTGCAGGAGGTGGTTCTCTGCCCTCAAGAAGACTGCAGGTCTTGTCAGGGCGAGTTTCAGGGCTCTGCACAGAGCCATGGTGAGGAGCCCACTGTGGGATCCCCACACTCCAAGGATGTTGCAGCCTCAGATGAGCAGTGTGGTGAGTGCAGGCCTGGGAGGGGCGGGCAGGGGCAGGCATGGCAAGGGGCGCACACTCAGTGCCTGCTGCTCTCTCCCAAAGGTCCTGCAGAGGGGAGCCCCGCACACACTGAACAGCCTCCAGTTGAAGAAGCTGTGGTCAAGTGCCCCCCAGAACCCCAGCTGCTAGAGAATGAGAATCTGCACAGAGCCCTGGCTTGGGCCTTCACCCCTGAGTCAGTGATTTCTGCTTTGGAACAGCACTGAGGAGTAGGAAAACATAGAACCCAGTGCCCTGTGCCCTCTTTCCCCCATTCAGTCCCTGCTTCCCTGTCCCTCCTCTCCGACTCTCTTCCTGTCATGTCTAGAGGAGTCAGAAAAACTCCACCAATTCATTTCTTCCTAGAGATATTTGAACTCCAACAATTATTTAAAATATCAAAAAATGTGTTTATTTCAATAGAAATGAAAAAAAAACCCGAGAAAAATATTTCAATAAAAAATTTAAAAGTTTTAAAATTTTAAATCTTTTTCATAGAGTAAAACAAGACAAATAATGAAACTGAGTTTCAAAACAGGTTAGTAGGAGCGTGACAATACTTGAAATCCTGCATGCTGTTGTCTTCGTAGTAGTTATTTGGAATACAAGATGTAGGCATGCTATTGCATCTAAACAATATTAGCACAAGACATTGTTTTCAAGGAAGAAATAGAAGCTAGCTGTGCAATTATCTTCACTATAATTTTTCTTCTCCTCTTTCTTTTTTTTTCCCCTATCACAGTTTGAATTTTAAAGCTTATTTATGGTTCTGAAGGACAGAGGGAGGAGACAGGAGGGGTTCCTGGTGACCTGGTCCTGATGGTCCCATTTTTGCTGATTTTCATTTGACTGGGAATAAATGGATTCTATCAGTTTCCTGGCAAGGAAAATGAGGGGCAGGGAGCAGATGCTCCCCACAGAGGGCACGCGTTGGGCTGCGGCAGAGCCCATGTTTGAGCTGGTCCAGCAGGGCTGGATGACATCTCCCTGCCTTGTCACCTGCATCCTGCTAGGCTGTGGTGAGGGGGCTGCTGTGGAGGCTCCCAGGGCAGCCTGTTCTAATGGGCCTCAGGCCGGAGCCTGACCTGACAGTGGGGAGGGACAGGTTCAGGGGCCCGCCCTGCCCTGCAGTGCAGCATTTCCAATTGATGCCCTGGTTGTGGCTCTGTCTGCACATGGGGCCTGTTCCTTCTATTTAGCTTGGCCTCTTGCTGGCTGCTGCCCCTCTTCCTTGAGGTTCAATTTGTGGCCCTGCTCCTTGGTGGTAAGAATGGTGGTTTTTGTTTTTGATAGGAATACTCTATGGGACTTCAGTAACCCTGGAACTCCCATGCCATGTCAATTTGACTCTAAGTGAGGAACTCAGTTCATTCTCATGAGATAGACATGAGACTCTGGGAACAAGGTGTGGGGTGTAGTGCCTTTTAACCTGAAATGTCCCTCGGAATCTGTGTGTGGAAGTTGGTTGGATGGGAAAGGAAGCATACTCTGCAGAGGACCTGTCCACTGCTGAGGTCAGGGAGTAGATGTGTTCTTAGGGTGTGAGGCTGCTGGGAAGGGTGTTGCTGGCCACCGTGGCCTGAGCACCTTTCCCTTGGCCATGTCCCTCTTCCCTCCTGTTTCTGCCTTGCAGCCAGTCCACCAGAGACTAGAACTGTGAGCCCAAAGAAACCCCTCCTCCTCTAAACTGCAGGTGTGAAGTATTTTGTCTCAGAGATGGAAAGTAAGAAGACATGAAGGTTTCAGGACATGTGCAAAATGCAGACAAGTTCTTTCTGGCCAGAATGTAGCATGCACAGGAAGTTCCCATTTGAAACCTCCTGAGACTTGGCTTCACTCTCTGCAGTTTGTCAGCAATCTGGCTGTCTGAGCTCCCAGCAGAAACACCCATTAGACTTAGCTTATGGCATTGCAGGGCTTCTCTAGCACACAGCTGTTAACATCCCCAAATCCCTTCCTCAAAACTGTTCCAAATGAACTGAACAGCATGGACTCATGTAGTCACTCACTGGGCTCTACTTCTTTAGTCCCAGTTCTTTGGTTTGCTCACGGGATCCAGTACCTGGCACCCACAATTGAAGGACAGTTTTCTGTGGGTCACAGTTTCAGGAAACTCAGTCCATGTTTGGCTGGCTCTAAAGCAGATACATCATGGCAGAAGGGCAAAGCTGCTTGCTTCATGGCAGCTGGGAGGCAGAGCAGATTGATTTTTCCTGAGAAGATGGGGCCACGTGTCTGATATAGCACCCCATGTTATACTTCAAGGACACATCAGGAGGTGTGCTTTCCTAAGCTGCCTTTCAGTTCTAAAGTTAATGCAATCCATCTTTAGTGCCACAGTAAAGTTCCAGTGGGGTTCTTATTAGAAACAACACAACTTAGGACACAGATGAAATGACAAATGTTTGTAAAACTAAGTTCGTTCATCAGCTTACTATTAGTACTGAGCAATGTCTTCCAAAATCAAAATGAAGTTCATGTTTCTAGTATACAAAAGCCAAAAAATGTGACAGCACCAGCTTTCCCTACATAATGGATTCAAGCGAGTCCTATGTTCACAGGAAAATCAACTCCACAATGGAAAATGTGTTAGTGTTGGGGCTGTAGCTAAGCTTAATGGTAGGGTTAGTGTTAGAGTAAATATTCCTGATTAGTCTTTGTGTGCTGATTTTGGTTGAGCAGCTGAGACCAAATTTGGATGAGACCTCAAATATATATTTCAGTTAACATTATTGATTTGCTCTGTCTTGAAGGAAAATTATCAAAACAATCAAACTAGCTTCTCCAATGAAATCTGCAAGCACTTGCAGACTTTATTATGAAGCTCATTACTTTTCTGAAAGGTCCTGATGCTGTGCTGTGAGGACTGGGATCCCTGCACTAATGACACAGTGCATGCATGAGAGCTAGAGCCGCCCATGGGGTCAGAGCACCAGGGAAGCTGAGTCCACGCCTGCTCAGTGATGGGAGTCAGGGCAAAGCTGCATCCTTGCACCCCTGAGGTCCACTGAAATGCCCTCTGCTGCTTCCTGGGAGGGTCTGAGCTCCTCCATCAGTGCAGCTAACATGTTTCCATGACACCGCTTCTCTGAAGGGCAAGAGGGACACCAAGACCGCAGCCCTGAGCACACATTCAACAAAACCCTTGATGAGAGAGGAACTGAAAGTGTGCTACTTTTTGAAGGCTAGGTTGTCTGTACAATCACCAAAATCAAATTTATATTGAATATTTTCCAATTTCATTATTAAAAACCCAATCTCTCCCTACCTACAAGGTTAGAGTGTGCTTTGGAGGGCCTGCTGGGATTATTTTTCTCTGATTCAGGGAGAACCACCTCAAAAAGAAAGAAAATACATTGGGTTTCAGACTTGGCTCAGGCTGCCTGAACCTGTGCCTGGATGCCCGCCCTTTTCCACCCTCTAGATACAGAATCCTTCGCTCTTCCAAGACAAGAACAGGGCATTATCACATCCACCTAGTAACTGCTGTTCATTGGTCTGGTATTCATTCTACACCCTATGATTAAACCTTCAGGTAAATCAAAGCTTTGTAATTCCAGAAGTGAAGCAGTGAGTTCACAGGGGAGTAGGATAACATTCCATGCTTTTTTGATTTAACATTTGCTTAGTATCATCTGGAGAAATATAAGAACTTTAAAGGAAGAGCAGCAGAGCCAAAGACACCCAGTGAGCCTACTTGCTTCTCAAGTCCCTTCTCCCCAGACACCACTATCAAGGAGACTGTGCTATGGGAGTGAGGGCTCCTGCTTGGGTGGGGACAGCCAGGGCCCAGGGCCCTGACCACCAGCACAAACTCACAGCAATGCCAGAGAGGACATGGGACTTCCCAGAGCCGCTGCTCCTGGTTGAAGAGCAGGAGGACGGGAGCAGCTGAGCTGACAGCTTGATCTGTCCCTTGGTGTCAATGGCGTATTAAGGTCTCCTGTTACAATTGTGTTACTGATAATTTGAGTTTTCATTTCTGTTAATAGTTGTTTTATATAACTGGGTGCTCTGGAGTTTGGTGCATATATATTTAAGATAGTTATCGCTTCCTCTTGGAGTTTTCCCCTAACCAGTATGTATTGACCTTCTTTGTCCTTTATGGTCATTGTTGGTTTAAAGTTCACATTGTCTGCAAACAGAATGGCTACTCCTGCTTTTTTTTGGATTCCTGCTGCATGAAGTATTGTTTTCCATCCTTTGACTTTCAGTCTGTGAGTATCCTTCTGGGTTAGATGGGTTTCCTGTAAACAGCATACGGTTGGATTTTGTTTCTTGATCCATTCTGCTAGTCTGTTTCTTTTGATCGGTGCATTGAGACCACTTACATTAATGGTTATTACTGTTAAATGCTGGTTTATTGTTGACATGTTATCTCTCCGCTGTTGCATCTTTATCTTTCTGTTGTGTTTAATTATCTGCTTTGCTTAGTGGTTTTTTCCTTTGTGTATCTAAAGTGTGTTTCAATATTTTTTGCAGGGTTGGTTTGGTGTTCATGAAGTTCTTCAGCTGTTCTTTGTCATGGAAGTATTGTATTTCACCATCAAGTTTGAATGATAGTTTTGCAGGATACATCAGTCTAGGTTGGAAATCATTTTGCTTTAGGATCTGGAATACTTCACTCCATGCTCTTCTTGACTTTATTGTTTGTGCTGAGAAGTCTGCTGTGATTCTGATAGGTTTTCCTTTATAAGTGATCTGTCTTTTCTCTCTGACAGCTTTTAATAATCTATTCTTGTGTTGGATTTCTGGGATGATGATTATTATATGTCTGGGTGTAGTTTATTTTGGTTATGACTATTTGGAGTTCTATATGCATCACTGATCCTGATGTCGGTTTCTGATCTCATGCTTGGGAAATTTTCAGCTATTACTTCTGTAAATATCCTGTTGACTTCCTTTATGTTGTCTCCTTCTTTTTCATTAATCCCTATCATTCTTATGTTATTCTTCTTTGCATTATCTTGCAGTTGTTGAATTATTGTTTCCTAATTCCTTGTTATTTTCAAAAGATCTTTCCTTTCCTGTTCACTAGCTGCAATCCTGTCTTCAAGGTCTGAAATTCTATCTTCACTTTCATTGAGGCAGTTTTTACAACTTTCAGTGGAGTTTTTTATTTCCTGTATATCTCTGTGCATCTGCATTATGTATTCTCTTTGTTTCTTATATTGCTCGTCTAGGGATTCTATCTTTTTGTTTAGTTCCTCCAATTTTTTATCTGTGTTTTCTTTAGATATATTCAGAATCTCTTTCATTTCTTTTATCATTTCTTCTTTTACCTGGGAGATTATTTCGAGTTTGAATTTCTTTAAAGCTTCCTGGAGTTGCTTGTCAATTTCAGTAGCTATTGTGTCTGATATAAGAGGTGGATGGGATATATTTTCTTCTAAATACATTCCTCTTAGGGTTTCCTGAGATGGGCTGGAGGTTTGAGGTTGTAATTTGGTCTTTCATTTTGTCATTTTCCTATATTTCT